CTTGTGAGGGGCCAGGTCCCAAAACTCTGAAAAATTGTCACTGGTTATGCCCCTGTTCTTACTGTAAAGCACTGAGAAAGTCAAGTGCACTGTCTTACAGACAGCTCATGTTTTAAAGAGTTAGATTAAGGTAGATTTTAAACTATTGACATTTCTCAAATTTCCACATATGCCGGATATTTTTTCACAATCTATGCCATGGATCTTTTACCGATAATAATTGAAAAAGATCCTGTTTTGTATATTAAATGGTTTGTAAAAAAATTTTGTAGTCAGCACTTTTCATTTGTGTTGTTTTAAAGTTTACAGTATTTACATTAAGCTGCTTGCAGTTCTGTTAATATCTTTTTTCTTTCAACAATATAAATCCTTCCATGATAGCAGGTTTACTTTTTGTATTCTAATGGCAATAAAACTTGTATATTCTACCAGTACAGAACGAGGTCAGCCTTCACCGACGTGTAGATTGACCATTTACAATATTGTACAATCCTTAATGTTATTTTATTAATATTGAAATCCTTCATGTATAACCCTTACCTTGTTTAATGACTTTAAATGGACTTTAAATGGACTTTAAAAGGGATGAATTGTTTGGGGGTGGGTTCTAAAAATAGAAGTGGATATTGGATACTTTTTATTAAGAAATAAGAATATTCTTCATGCATGGTTTTATAAGGAAAATGATTGATTATATATGTATTTTACTGTTTATGATAATAATTATTTATTTCTACTTAATTTCTGCTGTTAGATGAAATAATAGAATTATTCAGTTTGTGCTATACGGTGGTAAAGATATATAATGTGTGATGTACAGTGAGTAATATACAGTGTGAGTGATACATCAGAGGTAATATACTGTAAGAAGAGATTAATGAGTGATAAAACAGTTGATGATACTTGATGAATGGTACACAATGAGTGATAAATGGTGAGTGATACAGTGAGTGATATACAGTTAGTGATATACGGTGATTGATATCCTAAGAGTGATATATGGTGTGTGATATACGATGAGTGATATCCCATGAGTGTTATTCAGTGAGTAATATCCTATGAGTGATATATGGTGAGTGATATCCCAATGAGTTACATACGGTGAGTGATATCCAATTAGTGATATCCAATTAGTGATATACAGTGAGTGGTATACAGTGAGTGGTATACAGTGTATGTATGGTGAGTGAAACACTGGGTGAAATCCTGTGAGTAATAGACAAAACTTGATACATGGTGAATTGAGTATATACAATAAGTAATGCACAGTGAGTGATTTTTAGTGAGTGATGCACAGTACGTGATATACAGTGAGTGAAACACAATTAGCATAAAACTGTGGCTGATATCGCCTAAACGATACATACTATAGTGAGTGAAATACAGGCATATCAAATACAGCTCACTTCTGTTTAGCTTGTTTTATTGTTTTTATAGAATAATGTTACCCAATACTTAGTTTAATGGGGCGTCCGTGGCCGAGTGGTTAAGGTCGTTGACTTCAAACCACTTTCCCCTCACCTCTGTGGGTTCGAATCCCAACAGGGACTTCGGATTCTTTCATTTGAGGAAGCTATCCAGCTAGCTTACGGAACGTCGGTGGTTCTACTTGGGTGCCCGTTTGTGCCTGAAATAATGCACGGAAGGGCACCTGAGGTCTTCCTCCGTCAGTAAAGCTGGAATGTCACCATATGACCAATACTGTGTCGGTGTGACGTAAAACCCAATCAAACAAACTTAGTATATTGATATGAAAGTCCTGAAAAATTGCATAGTTTAAACGATTTATTGTTTGAGATAAACCAGTATGTGTTATTTTAGTGTTACTTTTGCAAATCAAGGGACAACAAGGGTCAGGTTAAACGCCTGTAATGTGTTATTACTTTATCATTTTACAATTTTTATTTAATTTTATTTTACCAGCAATGATAGTGATAGATTAATATGGTGTATATAGATAGATAATGTGCCATCATGATAATCAATAGGGGCAAAATAAATTAAATGTTAGATCTATTTCTGTGTTTTGTTCAATCTCTTCATTTTTAGCTCACCTGTCACAAAGTGACAGGGTGAGCTTTTGTGATCGCTTTTCGTCCGGCGTCCGGCGTCCGTCCGTCGTCCGTAAACTTTTACTTTAAATGACATCTCCTCATAAACAACAAGGCCAATTTCATCCAAACTTCACAGGAATGTTCCTTTGGTGGTCACCTTTAAAAATTGTTCAAAGAATTTAATTCCATGCAGAACTCTGGTTTGCCTGGCAACCGAAAGAAAAAAACTTTAAATATCTTCTTTTAAAAAACCATAAGAGCTAGAGCTTAGATATTTGGCATGAAACATCTTCTAGTGAGTGTCTACCAAGTTTTTTCAAATAAAAGCCCTGGGGTCAGAAAAATTGGCCCTGCCCCCGGGGGGTCATTGATTTTCCCTATATGCATATAGTATGAATTTTAAAAAAATCTTCTTTTAAAGAACTCAAAGAGCTATGGCTAAGATATTGAGCATCAACATGTTCTCATAGGTGTCTTACCAAGTTTGTTCAAGAGAAAAGCCCTGGGGTCAAAATTGGCCCCGCCCCCAGGGGTCATTGATTTTTCCCTATATGCATATAGTAAAAACTTAAAAAATCTTCTTTTAAAGAACAAAAAGAGTAAGAGCTAAGATATTTAGCATGAAACATGTTCTAATAAGTGTCTACCAAGTTTATTCAAATAAAAGCCCTGGGGTCAAAATTGACCCCGCCCCGGGGGTCATTGATTTTCCCTATATATGCATATTGTTAAAAATTTAAAAAATCTTCTTTTAAAGAACTCAAAGAGCTATGGTTAAGATATTTAGCATCAAACATGTTCTATTAGGTGTCTACCAAGTTTGTTCAAATAAAACCCCTGGGGTCAAAATTGGCCCCGCCCCGGGGGTCATTGATTTTCCTTATATGTGTATAGCAAAAACTTAAAAAATCTTCTTTGAAAAAACCCAAATAGCTAGAGTTAAGATATTAAGCATGAAACATCTTTTAGTGAGTGTCTACAAAGTTTGTTCAAATAAAAGACCTGGGGTCAAAATTGGCCCCGCCCGGGTTCATTGATTTTCCTTATATGTGTATGGCAAAAACTTTAAAAAAAAATCTTCTTTAAATAGCCCAATGAGCTAGAGCTTAGATGTTTAGCATGAAACATCTTCTTATGGGTGTCTACCAAGTTTGTGCAAATAAAAGCCCTTTGGTTAAATTGGCCCCTGCAATGTTTGGGGGGGGGGGGATGCGGGGTTGGGGGGCCTAATATACAGGTGAGCGACCTCATGGCCATCATGGCCCTCTTGTTTGTTCTTTACATGCGTTCTTCTTTCCACAAAATAGAAATAATTGTCCCTGTACGGAAACGATGTCTCTGATACTATGTACGTCAAATCGGTGCTACAGTTTTAAAACCGTCCTCGGTATCCAAATCCGAATTGATGGTACCAGTTGTACAGGGTGTATGCACTAATGACGTAAACTCGACCATTACGATTGTGCGTGATAGGCAACGACCTTAAAATAAAGTAAGTCAGGGAAATGATAATAATTAGATATGTAAGGCAAGCATGACTCTCAGGTCAAAAGGCCAAGCTAGTGTGAGAAATAGATTAAAGCCAATCTGTCGAAGAACGTAAATTACTTGATAACTTTTTGCCCTGGCAGGTAAATAGCGTGATTTCCTTACCTTGCAACTCGTCAATTAATGGGTTCTACGGTCTCTTACATCAATGGTAAAATGTGATAAAAATCGGCCGGATTGGAAACCAGACTAGTACAAGCGACAGAAAAAGAACTGGTAACGATTAGAAAAGAACTGCATGCTACGATCTGCCAAATCGAAACATTACTGGTGATCGGTCCGATAAGAAACATATAACTAACAGCCCAGTCAGAAATAGAACTGGTAACATAAGATTCCGATCGGAAAGACAACTGTTCAGTCAGCTCTGTTAGTATTTATGACCAAACAAATGAGGGATGAAAATGGTTATTATAAGCTTTCATCCACATGAGAAAAAGAAATTTGTACAATCGACCCGATCAGAAATCGACACTGTTGTAATAATCGGCTGATCAGAAATAGGCATGGTTGTAATAATTGACCTGATCAGAAATCGACACTGTTGTAATAATCGGCTGATCAGAAATAGGCATGGTTGTAATAATTGACCTGATCAGAAATAGACATGGTTGTAATAATCGGCCTGATCAGAAATAGACATGGTTGTAATAATTGACCTGATCAGAAATAGGCATGGTTGTAATAATTGACCTGATCAGAAATAGACATGGTTGTAATAATCGGCCCGATTAGAAATAGACATGGTTGTAATAATTGACCTGATCAGAAATAGACATGGTTGTAATAATCGGCCCGATTAGAAATAGACATGGTTGCGCTTGTCCTGAAATAAAATGGTTACAATCGGCCTAATCAGGTGTAGCATTAAAACAGAAACGACCAGATTAAGAAATCGTTTAGAAACATGATCAGTTATTGGAACAACAGTTGGTAGTCTTGTTTTATTGGTTCAGTGTATATAATCTTTATAATTTTAATTTTAAAAATCGAGTATCCGGTTGGATCAATTAATTCCCCCCCCCCCTCCTAAAAGCCACATAGCCAGTATATAATATGCGTTGCCTTAAATCACCGTCGACTGCGTGGTCGTGTCGAAATATCTGTTTATAAACAAAAGTTTTGCTGTAAACTCCATTATTATTTTTACATCGTAGACAATTAGATAATACTATTACTAATATGTTATTACTGGTACTAGTGAGCGCGGTAAGTCAATTATAGTTCTACTTTGTAATTATTTCTTTATGGCAATGTTGTATTAACATCAGTGTTTGAAATTATATTTTGTCCAATAGGAGTACAGTATTTCAAAGGAATCGTAACACATTTACTTTGGTAAATCGGTAAACTGTTAAACAGTCTAGTAAATCGACTGTTTATTAAAATAATTTAAAACACTAAGCCGTTTAAAATTTATTAGTACGTATTTACAAAATTAAGTTAGTCGCACGGCTGCGCCGCACCTGACCAATTTAATTTTGTAAATAGGTACTAATAAACTTTAACCTGTACTTAAATAATAATTTTAGAGCATGTTGCTCTGTAAATCTTTATACAAATAAAGATATTTCAATATCATTTTTTCTGTACATGCTACGGAAACTGTCGAGGATCTGTCGATGTTTTATATATTCTGTTCACTGACCGGAAAATAATACATTTTACTCAAAGTTTTACTATTTGACAAATGTCAGATCAGACTATTATTCCTTTCCTCTTGTAGAAAGTGGGTAATTCTGAATTACATCTTTATTCTCTGTCTTATATATTAAATCCGTATTGACAAGAACAAAAGATTTCATATTTTGGTAATATCTGACCTTGTAATAAAAAAAAATCCGTATTTTAGTAAATACGGACTTCATACAAGGTTTCCGTATATTACGAGTGTACGGATCACGGTATATTAGTCATATACGTATTGCATGGTATACGGTCCCGTACATCTACGTATTCAAATTTCATTTATTTTTACCTGTCTATCTTTAATATACGGAATTTCGCACCTTTTATTTTATCCATATATTTTCCGCAGTGGTCATAATGGCGTAAAATGTCGTTTATAGCGGGATTTTGACACAGGGCGACCTTTTTAATGGCAAATAAAATAACAAAAACCCCGTGACTTTTATCCAAAGGGGTGGGGGAAAAGTCATTTCGACTGAGTATACATTTTAAAGGACGTTTAAAGAAAAAAAAATCAAAAATCTATTTCAGGAATTTTTAAATAAGCCGCTTTTAAGCCGCAAATTGCGGCTAAACTGAACGTCAAATTTTACACAAAATTTACAGTTTTCTTTCCATATTTCAAACATTTTTCGGCGTAAAACGAAATTTTTTATATCAGCTTAAAGGAAAAAACAATTTCCGTTGGATGCTGTAGGATTTAAGGAATTTTGTCCGCCAATGGCGTTGTGATACCCGTAATAGTTGCCAAGGATACGCAACGACGTCTTGTTCAAAAACGGGCTTTGATGGTCAACTTTGACGTCGTGTGTACAAAAATTGGCTGAAACTATTGGTATAAAATTAACAAAATCCAATCAGAAATATGGTCAACTTTCTGCTTGCCAATTTTCAAGACGCTCCTCGAAAGTTCGCAAAGTGTCGCGTTCTACCTTAAATATCATTTTTTCTCGTAATGGGTCTTTAAAATTCATATTTTCAGTTATTCTTGGACGCTGTGCAATGTGCAACAACAGTTTCTCCAGTAAAGATATTGTATGATTTTCATCATGTATGTATCTTATCATCTTTTAAACTGCTAAACCCTTTTACTGCTTATGTTTTATAAATAAATAAATAGATAAACAAAAAAATAAATAAATTAATTAATTAATTAATTTATTTATTAATAAATCGTCAACATTTTTATTCCAAGAGATAAATTCGTTTTACTATTAAAGTAACTCCACTTAAAATCATAAAAATTTAAAGTCCTACAGAAAGTTACGGAGCGAGCTAATGAAGTTTTGCTTTGACGTTTATGCATTCCACATCAAAATTGGTACTCAAAATTTGAAAAAAAAATATTTCAAGTTCTGTTATATTAAAATTACACAGTGGAGGTCTTTAAAAAAATTAACAGTAGATTTAGATATTATAAGGCTTTAAATTTTGTTTTACAACTTCTGGTGAAAATATAGACAATTTTTTAATTTAGACAAAATATTTTACATTTGTTTTACAACTTCGGATAAATTTATAGACAAAAGTTTTACATTCGTTTTACAAGTTTTGCTAACTTTATGGACAAAAGTTACAACTCCTGATAAATTTTATTTATAGACAAAAGCTTTACATTTGTTTTACAACTTCTGATGAATTTACAGAATAAGGCGATGATAGTACGAGCAGATGGTTGCTATGAATATCACATGAATCACCAGGATTCCGTCGATGCCAAAGACGACACGGCACGACCAATTCTAGAGGTATACTTTGGAACTTATATATACTTTTGTTAAGAGAGATTGATATTTGTGGTTGCTTGACACTTGGCTGAGACGCCAAGCTAGCATTACGTTGAGACAGAATGACTTACGCTGAGTTAATTGACATTCCGTTGAGTTAATTGACATTCCGTTGAGTTAATTGAAATTCCGTTGAGTTAATTAACATTCTGCTGAGTTAATTAACATTTTGATATGTCAAGTCTACACGAGTTGTAGTTCAGGAGGTTTCATTATGTTAAATCAAGAATAAATATGACTGGAGTCAAGGTGGCGTTATGTTCGGTCAAACTAGCATAAGGTTCGGTCAAAATGTTGTCATATTTTCCTCCTTTTATGTCTAGTTCTTGCAAGATTATAATTCCTGAAAGTTTATTCATCGCTATGATTATTATTGATTAATCTTATTTCTTAAACATGCTCTTTTCATAAGATGTATTTTTTCCGTTTTGTTTTAAAATATTTAATTGACCCTTATACTTTTTAGGCGCGAATGCTCGCTGAACTCGCAACAGCCATCAACATTGTAGAGACCGGGCACCATCACATTGATCACATGACACAAGAAATCAAGACTGCGTGCGCATCACTTACGGTTTACGGTTGGGATCTTCCGACCGTGGGTTCAACTGTACCAAACGTTTCGAGTCCGTAAAAATAAAAGTGTGAAAGATGAAATAGATTAGTGTTTGCATTTTTCATCTTAATACAAATATCTCAAATGTACATGTGTTGTGAAAAAAAGTTTGACAAACCAAGCAATTTTGTTTGATATATATTTCTTTTCTATGTACAAAATCAAAATGCTTGATGACTTAGTGACCTTCTCAAGCACTTAAGAAGAATAGTCGATAAAAGTTATCTAATGCAGATGTAAAATTTTGTTGCGTTGTCTTCACATAAAGCACAGGGTTTCCTCATGGTCCAGTACTTAGACTTCATTTCTTTCTTGTTTATATAAATGATATTTCAGAGAACCTATTAAACACTACACATATTAAAGCAGACGACACGTGTAAAATTTATGCACAACCGTCTATATCTGATCTTGAAAGAATTATTATAAATCACGATTTAGTCTCGATTACTTTTAGTAGAAATCTTTAAATGACTTAAAGTTTACTTTTAATATTCAAAACTCAGTGGGTATACATGTATTAGCCAGATTCCAGGAGGGATCATGACCATCCCTCCTCCCCCATTTTCTGGATTAACGCATGTGAGATGAGGTAGCTAAAATCATAAATTCTTTGTAACACATCTCACTTTGGGGTCAAATGCACTTTGGGGTCTAACTTGGACATGTATATATGCATTCTGAACATAACACAAACGACCGCATTTTCGGGTCATAAGAATTAAATATATAAGAATAAATTTTAGTGATATTATAAAGTACTTTATCTTGTTTATACATGTATATACGCTACTGACACAATGAGCGTTCAACATGAGTCCGCGGTACAACTCTACATAACAATCTTTCAGTTGTATACTAATTTACAAATATAAACACATAATTTATAAAAGATAATGGATAACTTTAATATATAAATATGATATGGCATGAAATCATGAATATAGTTTCTAAATGAAATCATTTTTTGGATGATGTCGTTTGGATCTGTGGGCATTCTTCTACTTTCTTGATATCGTCATACCCCTTGAGCATAAACTTCACAAATTCTGGAAAAGTAAAAAATAAAGGTTTTGTTATAATTATGACTTAAGAAAAAAAACTGTTGACTTTTTGTACTGTTGAGATATTGCTACGGTCATGTTGGCGTTGACGTTGCTGATGCCGTTGCCTTCCGACTACTTGAACGTTGATCTTTTTTAATTCTCAATGGATTGCCTTCACACATAAACGCAACAACCCTTTGGACACGACCTTCAAGTTGACCAGAATGAACTTGACCGTAACTCATCAACAAGGTCAATTGTTTATATTTTGTTTGGTTTCTGATTTCTTAATGGACTGTCTTCAAACTTTGACACATTGACCTTGACTTAAAAATGACATTGAACTTGTATATTGATTGATTTTTGCTTAAATTATGCTAATTCTGGATTTTTTTTTACAGATTTTATTCATATTGAAACAAAACAACACTTGTAACAAAGCCACCAAACAAAAACTATAGTTCCATATTTGTTCGGATTATCATCGGTATGCAAACCAGATACTTTACATTTTTATTTGTTGCCCCATTACAAACTTTGACACATTTGGAATGTAAGTTTTGTAAGGAGCATGACGCACATCTCAATAAAACATGCATTCTAATTTCTTTTGGTGCATAAAGTTCATTGTTTCTACTGACCCTTAAGGGTTATGTAAAAATACCTTATGTAAAAATACTTTGATCTTTAACCTTACCTTCAACATCAACTTGCTTGTCTCCATCAGCGTCCATCATTTTAAACAACTGGTCGGTCTCCTCGGCCGTTAACGGTTCGCCGAGAGACATCAAAGCTTTCCGGAGTTCTTTAAAATCTAAATCGCCGGTCCTGTCTCTATCAAACTTTCGGAAAGCTTCTCGTAACTCGATATTAAACACACTAGGATCTTTTAAATGTTTCTTTAACATTTCAACATATTCATCATACGTAATTTTGTCGTTATCTGTGGATAAATACAAGTACATACAATACTGAGTAAAGCTATTATTTAAGTATGTATTTCATATAATATATAGATAAACATGTACGGCATCTTGTCCATGCCATTATACTTTACATACAAAATAAGAACACCATTAGTAAACCGATCACGTGCTGTACGTTTATGGGCATCCATTTTGGATGGGAACCATCACATAAATAGGAAGCCAGCATACATCAGGGGTAGGTAACTAAGAAAAAATAAACTTATATCGGGACTTATACCATTTACTTATTGTACATAAAAAGCAGTGATAAGTGCAAACCCTAAATCGCTCGATTCGGCAGATATTGTTATTATCTCCAGGAACAAAGAACTTCCGATTCTGAGGTCAGAGCCTTTAACCAACAGTCCAAGAAACCATAGTTTATTTAAAGTTGCAATCCTATTTCGGCAAAAAGACAATGACTTTGCTGGCCCATATGGTTGATTGCGGTAGCAAGGGTATAAACATATACCGTTGCACATGGAAACATAAAATATAATAAGATTGGTAAATAAAATGATATTTATTTAATTTCTAATACTTACGATCGGAATCAAACTTTTTTAATATGTCTTCCACCTCAGCCCCCGTCGGATTATATCCTATACACCGTAGAACGTTTCCTAACTCATTCTGTGTGATAAAACCGTCGCCATTTTTGTCAAATAAATCGAACACTTCTCTTTCTCGCAACTCTGTAGAAATGGAAATACGAATAATAGACTTATTACATATACTCGTATGTATGTCCTAAAGTATGTGACTGCGCGTGCGTGTTTTCTTTCTATTTTTTCCCTTTTCCCCCCAAAAAAGTAGCAAGCCAAGTGGTGCGAGCATTTTCAAAACAAGGTAAAACATATCTGTAAAATCACATAAAAGCAGTGTATTTTCAATGATGGAAATTTATCTACAAAAAGTTTAGACTTTATGTGAGAACTATTAACTACATTGTATAGGGCGCGCCCGGCCAAGTAGTTAAGCTTGTTGACTTCAAACCTCTTGCCTCTCACCGCGAATTCGGACAGGGACTTTGGATTTTTTCATGGGAGAAAGCTATCCAGCTGACCTGTTCTCTGTCAGGTGCCTGAAATAATGCATGGAAAGTCACTTGAAGTCTTCCTCCATCAGTAACAAAAAAACAAAAACAAAACAAAAAAACAAACAACAAAAAACTGTCGCATACTGCATTCTATTTACCTTTTCAGCAATTCTGAGAAGTATCCCTTGTTATATATAAAGCGAGAAAGAAAAAAAAAACACGACAGAAGCCCATGTGACTACTAGTATCCAATATACATTTATATCATACCACAAGGCTAAACTTAATACTATTTCTCAGCTGTTTATTGATATATAGAAGTTTATAAAGTTTACCAAGAAATTGTTTCGGGTGTAGTGCATCGTCATTCATGTTTTATACTATGGTGAAATCCTGAAAATATCACGTACATACATGTAAATACATGTGTACAATCACTGTCTTTATAATTATGAATAATTATATAATTTACCCTATGGTGTTAAAGATCTCCAACGAACTACATGTATATTCGTTGAAAACTATATGCGGATTCTGCTGATTTTGGTCTGGACTTCTCTTATGGATAGATTAAGTTGTTACCAACAGTAAATCAGTTTATTTTGTTACAATGTGACAAAATAGCTCTTACGAATGCAAATATTGCGATGACAATTGTAAAGTTGGTCATATTTTGCAATAAACCAGCAAAATATAAATGTTTACATGTGTCTTAAATTTCTTATACATGTATTATTTAATTTCTTTATCAAAAATTACTAAAATATTATCATATATATGTAATTTAAGTTATAGAGGCGTGAAATTTTATAAAAAAAATACCTTTCAGTCGACTTAAAAATGCAATCCGTGTAGTAACAAGTCCTCATTAAAAAATAAATATATTCACATTAGTAAAAGCATTTATATGTTTACCGTTTAACTTTTTTTATAAAGTAATTTTGTAAGTACCGGATTAAAAAACCTATTACTACCATTTTTGAGACCGATTTTATATTTATATATATTATCCAGCTAAGTTGATATTCAACTAATCTGTTATTTAGTCATATCCTTTAATAGTTTAAAATGTGAACTAATAATAAAAACTTTCAATACATGGACTTATTGTAACTTAATGGAGCGACGTCTGAAGTGGGATTTATTTTCTTTCCGCGGATTAAAACATGACGCTGTTTTGCAGTCTTGTAATTCATATAAAGTAACGTATACCCAGGCTACAATTTAAGCTACGAGGAACTGCTTTGTTGATATTAATGAACATGATATTGATATTGTGGAATCATTTGATCAAATGAACAATAAAAATGTCAGCGGAAACTATTTAATTTGGTGTCAGAACAGAACAGAAAATACTCTTTATTTGGAAGAGATAGATTACAAAATATTAAATTCTGCAATATAATGTATGCAAATTTATTAACAAAATTATAAGCAGTGGGAAATGGTCAATACATAAAAAGAATATACATACAAACAAAGTAATTATACAATAAATATTGCTTATGGGTACAGTATTGTTATGACTAAATCTAAGCTGAACTTACATTCAAAAATAATGTTTCAATTTCTATTCTTTGTATGAATGGTGTTTTTATTATTATTTTGTTTTACCAATGTGATCCGATTCGATCGAACTGGATGGACATAGAAAATATAGATTGAAAATATAATTAAGACTAGTAGGTTTAGTATTAAAGAAAACGGAAACTAAAATAGAAGGAAAAACGAAAATAAGAGTAATAAAAAAGTACGTGCGTAGTATGAAGTTGACATTTCAATAGTCGTATCAATTATTTTACTTTAGCAATATACTCAAACCTCAGAGGGTATCTATATATTAGCCAAATTCCAGAAGGGGTCATGACCATCCCTCTCCCTCCATTTTCTGGATTAGCGCATGTGAGGTGACGATGCGAAAATCATAAATTCGTTGGTTAAAACGCACTTTGGGATCCAACTTTGACGGGTATATATGTGCATTCTTAACATCACACAAACGACCGCATTTCGGGTCATAAGAATTGAATCAATAAGAACAAACTAAAAATAAGGTACGACGTAGTCGATAACAAAAGCAGACGATTGTCTATTTCAATTTGTTATATCTTAGAATTTCTTAGAATACTAGTATATTGTATGTTTTATATTCCATTATTTGTCTCACATGATAGGGGCAAGATATATAAACTTTGCAGTTTGATCCTAAAGTGGGCTTGACCATAAAATGCTCTGTTTAACTGCAATCTGTATATGTCGGCTTAAATTAAACGTTTATTAATACGCTACTGTCAGCACCAATCCGCTGTACAACTCTCTAGTGCAATATTATTTAACAATTTATCAGTTGTATACTAATTTACAAATTTAAACAAATAATTTATAAATGATAATGGATAATTTTAATATATAAATATGATATGGCATGAAATCATGTAAACAGTTTCTAAATCAAATCACTTTTTGGATGATGACAATTGGACCTGTGAGCATTCTTCCACTTTCTTGATTTCGTCATACCCCTTGAGCATAAACATCACAAATTCTGGAAAAGTAAAAAAATAAAGGTTTTATTATAATTATGATTTAAGAAAACAAACTGTTGACTTGTTGTACTGTTGAGATATTGCTACGGTCATGTTGGCGTTGACGTTGCTGATGCCGTTGCCTTCCGACTACTTGAACGTTGATCTTTTTTTAATTCTCAATGGATTGCCTTCAGACATGAACGCAACAACCCTTTGGACACGACCTTCAAGTTGACCAGACTGATCTTGACAGTAACTCATCAATGACGTTGCGATCCAAGGTCATTTGTTTATATTTTGTTTGATTACTGATTTATTAATGGACTGTCTTCAAACTTGGACACAACAAGGTTTAAGATAATTTTAAGAATACCAAACCGAAGTTGACCTTGACTTATAAATGATCTTGAACTTGTGTTTTGCTTGACTTTTGCTGAAATTATGTTAATTCTGGAATTTATTGACGGAATTTATTCATACTGAAACAAAACAACACTTGTAGCATGAGTTGAACTTTTAAATGACATTGTCCACCAAGCAATAACTCTGGTTCCATATTATCTTAGGATTATTATCAGTATGTAGAAGATGCCAAAGAAAGCACGGCAAGGAGCATGACGCAATAAAACATGCATTCGATCGGTGTAGGGTTATGTAATGTACAAAGATATGGAAACAAAAATACTTTGATCTTTAACTATACCTTCAACATCAACTTGCTTGTCTCCATCAGCGTCCATCATTTTAAACAACTGGTCGGTCTCCTCGGCCGTTAACGGTTCGCCGAGAGACATCAAAGCTTTCCGGAGTTCTTTAAAATCTAAATCACCGGTCCTGTCTCTATCAAACTTTCGGAATGCTTCTCGTAACTCGACATTAAACGTACTAGGGTCTTTTAAATGTTTCTTTAACATTTCAACATATTCATCATACGTAATTTTGTTGTTATCTGTGGATAAAAAAATACAATTACAACTACTTACATAGAATACTGAGTCAGCTTAAAGTGCATTTCATATAAGAAAATCATTTTGTTTCAGCATTACCCTTTATGAATGAGAACATCTGATAAATGGAAGCCAAGTATAACACCAGGGCCACAATTTTGGTTTTGCACTTTTTAATGGAACGAAAATTATCCAAAAATTCACGTCTTAATTGTTGTTTTATAAACTTTAAAAAAGCTTTCGATTCAATCTATCGTAATGCTCTTTGGTATAAACTTTTCAATTTCGGACTAGATGGTAAATTGATCAGGATTTTTAGAGATATGTACTCTTCGGTGTCTTCCTGTGTTAAGCTCTGTAATACTAGTTTTGTCAGACTTTTTGATATATTGATTGGTCTAAGGCAGGGCCAAAATAATTCGCCAATATTGTTTGCTTTATTTCTGGAAGATCTAGAACAATACCTAATACATGATGATAATAATAACGATAAGGGTTTTATTTTTTATGATATTTGTACGATTATTTTACCATTTGCCGACGATGAGGTCATATTTGGAAAGTCAGTTGAAGAATTGTAATCGAATCAAAATAATTTACACTTTTATTGTGATGATGGCCTAGAGGTCAACTGAGATAAACCAATAAACCAAAACAATGATCTTTAGGAAGAGGGGAAGAATCAGAGAAAATGAAAAATGATCATACGATAATACTTTATTAGAGACTGTTGATAACTTCAACCATTTGGGTGTAGCCTTTAATTATATTTAGTCTTTTCAACGTCATATTTAGTATGCTATAGGAAAAGATTTGAAAGCCCAAATTAAATGTTTTATTTTTTAATAGTAACAAATATGATGTGGCCCCTTCCGTTTCACTTCAACTTTTTGATGCATTTTTTGCCTCAACTTAAATTTTTCTTGTGCAATATATAGTTTGACAAAATCTAAAGATACAGAAAGGATTCATTTGAAATTTTGCAAGTGATTGTTAGGCGTAAAACACAGTACATGTACTGCAGCAGTTTATTCGGAGTTAGGCCGATATTCTATTTATATTCAAAGATATGTTCAAATAATAAGATTCTGGTTACATATTCTTCATTCAAATAATAATAATAATAATAATAATAATAATAATAATAATAATAATAATAATAATAATGATAATAATAATAATATCTTTAAGTCCGCTTTTCAATCATCAATAAGTCTTCATGAAAATAGTTATGACTCCTGGGCAGCTAAGGTACATTTTATTTTAAATGAATATGGTTTCACAGATGTATGGTTGAACCCATTGCAATACAATTCAAAATAGTTTGTTGAAACATTCAAACGTAGATTAGTTGATTGTTTTATACAAAAGATAAATGCAGGCATTTAGTCTAGTCCATTATTGTCTAGTCTGTACATTTGATTTACAAATTTGAACCTGCATTTTGTCTTTTGATAACTTATTTATTAGATCCTACAGACAATTTTTTCTCGTTTTAAGTTATCTTCTTATAAATTAAAGATAGAGGCAGAGAGGTATGGTCCTAGGTCCTAATAGACATCCTCGTTCAGAAAGAAAATGCGAGTTATGTTATTTTCAAGAAATAGAGGATGAATTTCATTTCATTATCATTTGTAATTGTTATACTGCATTACGTAGGGAGTTCATTAAGGTATTTTTACAGAAGGTCGAGTATGTTTAAATTTTGCAGCTTTTGAATTCAATATATAAATCCGAATTAATTGGACTTGCTAAATACATCATCTTTGCTACTAATCGTCGATATGAACTAAATATTACCACTTAAAAACTATTTCTACCAGTATGTGCATGATAATTTTGTTCCTTAATAGCGGCAGTATAGTATATATTGTGTATTTTGAATCGTTGATTCACATAATTTTAAGTCATTTTGCAACGTATTAATAAGGTCAATGCAAACTTTGTATTGTTTAAATATGGATTTAAGAACATTCTCCATATATACTTTTTGTTTAAAAATGTTTGTTTTCAATATGATCGTACCATGACTTATGATTTATGTATTATGTGTTTTGTATTTTGACATTGTACAAATATGTATACGTCAATAAATTATATTTATCTTATATCTATTTATAAAGATAATACGGTTGCACATGGAAAGATAAAATATAATAAGATTGTTAAATAAAATGATATGCATTTAATTTCTAATACTTACGATCGGAATCAAACTTTTTTAATATGTCTTCCACCTCAGCCCCCGTCGGATTATATCCTATACACCGGAGAACGTTTCCTAACTCATTCTGAGTGATAAAACCGTCGCCATTTGTGTCAAATAAATCGAACACTTCTTTTTCTCGTAACTCTATTAGAAATATAAATACGAATATTAGATTTATTACATATAATCAAAAGTGAGTATGTGATTGTGAGTGTTGTTGTTGTTGTTTTTTCATGAACAGCAAGCAAAATGGTGCCAGCATTTTTAAAACAAGTCAAAACATATCTGTAAAAATCCCATAAAAACTGTGTATTTTTCAATGATGGAAATATATCTACAAAAAGGTAGGATTTTATTTGCGAAATATTAGCTACATTGTATGGGATTTGGGTTCTTTCGTGGGAGGAAGCTATCAAGCTGACCTGTTCTCTCTCAGGTACCTGAAATAATGCTTGGAAAGTCACCTGAAGTCTTCCTCCATCAGTACATCTGGAAAGTCGCAAATTTGTACGATTTTAGGTAATTATGTTAAAATAACACAAATGCATAGATCACTGACCTGTCTACTTCTAATTATCAGATTAGGGGATACAATAACGATTTCACCTCAACACATTTCTTGACAAAAAGCACTCCACTCAAATAACGCTCAGTGAAACTTTTTCATACACACAAATTTAATTCAATCACATCTGACTGCGTACATTTATATTACTGCTTACATCTCACGAAACTTGGTCTACCAAAGATTGATATATTGTGTGTATAGACTTTATAATCAGTATGCAATTGACAGGTAAATGAAATCAAACAATATAATGCTATTAAACATTATTGAGTAAAATACTATAGCTGACAAACTTCTATAAGACGAGGTGCTAGTGATGGAGTCCTATATGATCTGTATTATATTCACAATTGTAGAATTATTTCTTTATTTCACACCACCAGTTATTCACCTTTTTTTACAGAACATTGTTAACAAGATTAATATTCCGTTAGGATATTTCGACTAGGAAAACGAAAACGAGGCTAGTTGGAGTACAATATGGATTTGATACGGGATTGTTGTACTTACATTTATGATTTCTATTGGAACATACCATAGTGCAAACGCCGGAAGTGTATTGGTTACAACTAATAAACTATCCAATATACATTTATGTACTTACATTTCATACCACAATAGTAATCTTAGTCTTATGTATAAATGTTTAAATAGTTTACCAAGAAATTGTTCCGGGCTTAGTGTGTCGTCACTCATGTTTTAAACTATGGTTATTCCTGAAAATATCACATAAATAAACGTATAATCTCAAGATTATAGGCAAAACACATCAATCAATGCTATTGAAATTTTCCTTATATGTACTGACTAGGTAGTTAAGTTGTGTAACATATAAATCAACATATCTGCTCAATACGAAAGAGTTGAGTAGATAGAATTTTTGTGAACACTTTCGTGAGCTCTCTCCTCACTACGTAGTGAACAGTACAGACCAGGATCAGAGGGCACATATGTCCACACATGGCTCAGTTGCTACTCAGCTGGCTAAGAGTGAAATCAATATTAATTGAAAAAATTCATTTGCAAACAAATATGGCGATGGAATTCCAAAAGTCGGTCATATTTTGCAATAAACCAGCAAAATATAAATGTTTTCATGTGTCTTAAATTTATATGTATCATTATTTTTTTTATCTAAAATTACTAAATATTATGATACATTATATACATGTATAACTTTTATCTGTCTAGAGGCGTGCTTTTTATAAATAAAATAATACCTTTCACTCGACATAAAAAACAATGCAATCCGTCTAGTAACAAGTCTTCATTTAAAAAAAAGAAATTCCGATTGATGAAAACATGTATAATACTATAATTATGTTTACTGTTCACTTTTTTGTAAACTTATTGTGTAAGTAATTAAAGATCCTTTTAATAACATTTTTTCAGACCCATTTTATAAACAATATATTTATATGTATAATGTCCAGCTATGTTAATATACAACAAATCCCTTATTTACTCATATCCTTTAATACTTTAAAATGTTAACTAAAACAGTGATTGAATACATGGTCCTATTGTAGCCTAATGGAGCGAAGTCTGAAGTGGGATCAATTTTCTTTCCGCGGATCAAAACATGACTTGTAATTCATATAAAGTAACGTATACCCGTTTACAAAATACGGAGGTCTGGTTTGTTGATACTAATTAACATGAAATTGATATTGTGGAATTATTTGATCAGATGAACCATACCAAAATGTCAAAAGAAACATTTTAACAGAACAGAACAGAACAAACTCTTTATTTGGAAGAGACAGATTACAAAATATTAAATTCTGCAATAACATGAGCGCAAATTTATAAACAAGATTAAGCAGTGGGAAATGGTCAATACATAACTGGGAAAAGAAATAACACACAAACAAAGAAATTATACAATAATTATTGCTTATGGGTACAGTATTGTTATGAATAATTCTAAACTGATCTTACATTCAATTTCTATATTTGTATGAACTGTGGTTTTTTTAATTATTTTGTTTTACCAATGTGATTCGATTGAAGTAAAAGTTGTCACTGGATGAACATAGAACATTTATAGTGAAAATGTATTCTAACACTCCTCGTAGTAAAAAAAAACCGGTCTTTAACTGCCAATAAACACAAGTTAGGGACTACTTGTATATGCGGTTGTTATGTTTTCTCCCTCGATTATATAGTTTACAAAGCCCTTTAAAGCAACAATAAAAAGCATTTTTATTTATATTTTCAGTTTTTGTAATGTTTTCTTTTCAGACAATATTGAAATAATATCTCACATACACTAACGTCATAGATTTGATCCATATCAGTTAATAGATATTTTTGACAAAACGGTGCCAATCCGTAAGCAGCGTAATGACGTCATCCTAAGTATACAACGCATTCATAAACGCTGACGTCATTTCATACATATAAGAATGATAAATGGGACACTGAAGTAAACACAATACAATCCATCTCAAGACGTAAGTTTTTATTGATGAAAACTTGATAAAATAACGTTTTTTCTTATTACTTCTTTTGTTTAATAATTTCTATATCTTGGCAACAGTAGGGTGCGAAAATCGAAAAGCGTTATACGAAAATCGGCAACGGAAGTTATTTCCGCATGAAAAAAATAACATTTGTGATCTTCCTTATTTAATCGTGTTAGAATAACAATGGTCTAAGCGGCCTCAGGGGTCAATTCCTACGCATCAAAACTCTAAACCGTTCTTAAATAGCCGATAAACACTGCTAAGCGTGTCAGACTGATATTATTTCTTAAATTAAGACTGGTAGGTTTAGTATTCAAGAAAAACAGAAACTAAAACAGAAGGAAAAAGGAAAATAATAATGAAGAACATGCGTAGTATGAAATTGACAAAATAAAACACAATATAATGGCGCTTGAAAAGCATTGAACTGATGAATATACTATTTAAGTAAAATTGCGAATCATTATCAAAATAAATAAATAAATAAATAAATAAGTAAATAAATGATCAGCGTTCAAGTTGTCGGAAGGCAACTGCGTCAGCAAAGTCAACGCCAACATGACCGTAGCAATATCTCAACAGTACCACAAGTCAACAGTTTGTTTTCTTAAGTCATAATGATAACAAAATTTTCTTTTGTACTTTTCCAGAATTTGTGAAAATTATGCATCAATAAGAAACAAAACTGGTAACAATCAGAAATAGAACTGGTACTGGTAACAATAAGAACCCGAACTGGCATCAATTAGAAACAGAACCGGTAATAATCAGAAATAGGGCTGAAATTTTCCTCATAAGTTAATGCTTTCCACATCAAAATTGGTACTCAAAATTTGAAAAAAATATTTCAAGTCCTGTTATATCATAATAACACAGTGGAGGTTTTTAAAAAAAACCCAGTAGATTTAGATATTTTAAAGCTTAAAATTTTGTTTTACAACTTCTGGTTGTGTCGTTATCAGGTGAAATTATATTATAATTTAGACAAAATATTTAACATTTGTTTTACAACTTCGGATAAATTTATAGACAAAAGTTTTACATTCGTTTTACAACTTCTGATAACCGACCTAACCGATATATAGTGGTGTTTGACCTTTGTGAGATAGGACGTCCCAGTATTCCCTGTTTCCTGTTGAATGGACAAGCAATAAACTGCTCAGATTAATATATCTGATTACATCCGTGTGTCAAAGTATCTAAAGAACTTGAACATCTATGTAAGTTTGTTATACCATTTTATCCTGTCACTTGTATCAATTTCGGCCCGATAACAAGGTGCCGTATATTTTTACTGATCTACGGCACTTGATCACGTGGTATGCATGGTTTGCCGGACTACTTTTCAAGAAAAAATATAATTATTATTATAATGTTGGACTTTATGTTTGGTTCGCCTCAGAGTTCCCAATAGAAACGTTCTTTACAGGCCGTTCCAGTGGTATGAAAAAAACTGTCGGTAAATCTTCTGTGTGTAGAATAACGAATTTTGGAAACGTTGATAAAACTTTGTTTGTTTATTTTATTTCACTCAATAATTTTTCAAGCGAAATAAAAATTATTAAAAGTGAATAAATATAAAACTTAACTCGTTTGCGACATTAAAATAGCGTACTTGATTTGATTGTTTTGCACGTGCTGTTTTGCGTCACGTAAACAATACTTTAAACGTCTGTACAGCGTTAACGACTGAATAAAAGATATTGGTGTTCGAATTCATTTTCTTAGTTAGACCATTTTCTTTCATTCTAGAAAGTTTTCACAACAAAATTCGACAAAAAATTGTTTTTATTTATCACATTTTTCAAACAAAATGGCGCCCTCAATGTGAAATACACAGGGAGATAATAAGAACGGCGAGTGCATTGTTGTAGAATAATGCACGCTTCGGGCCTTCTTTGTTTATATAGAAACATTTCCGATAGTGTGATTAAAGGTAGTTTGCCTAATAAAATTCTTTAACAAAACGGTGACAGGATAAATAGAATAATAGATTGGTGCTGTGGATGGAGAAAGTTTATCTGGCTCTGCTCCGGAATTTATTGGGTTCGCCTTCGGCTCACCCAATAAATTCCCCCGCCTCGCCAGATCCACGGCACCAACCTATTATTCTCTATATAGATATACTATATTGGTGGCAGCGGTGATTCAATTCTAGCTGCGGCCTGTATTTTTAAGACGCTACCAGTCTTCGGACCCACTTTAGGTTTTTGTACCATTGTGGTTTTTAATTAGGATATATAATACCGGTATCATATTTTCTTCTTCTATTGTTGTCCTCAAAACCTAGCAATTTTTTAAAAGAAATTGCAGATGAATTTTTAAGAGTGATATTTTTATAATATTGCTTATTTTCAGGCAGAAAGAGGTGTGATATTTTTAAAGAGCGATAGTCTTTTAATATTGCTTATTATAGTTACTGTAAGGCACAATATTATAGTATTGTGTAGGTGTGTGGAATAAAATAAATTTTATTTCGGAAATTGGTTTACAGTAATGGTGGTAAGTGGTATGATTGCCTGATATTTTTAATTATTTGTAATAAAAATATTATAATACGTAAGTAATAAATATGGCAATGGCGATGTATAGGTCAGACACAAAAAGCCCCCACACAATAAATCTAAGGTTGCGATTAATTTTGCTTCTAAGGACGAGTTGGTTAAAGTTCCGGGGGATAGTAAGAGGTTTGCTGCTATTCCCTTATCTATAAGGGGGGGGGGGGGGCTGGCGGGGATATCACGTTAGATATATTGTCTGCAATATGTCGTAAAAAGTTTACGGGTGAGGAATAAGATATGATAGATTTTTCATCAAATGAAGTTTTGGAAAAATCCCCTAGAAAAGAGGAGGCTTTAGAGCATCATACTGAAGCTTCTGAAGAGGAAGGGTCCTTGGATAAGTCATTTAAGTCATTGGATCAGTCATTTACAGACTTTTCGGAACCAAATCCTGGGGCAGTAAAGCCTGATGTGGCTAGAGGGTCAGCTGGGGTGAAAAGCACTTCAGTATTTGGGCCTAGAGAAGGTAGACCTGTGATGGGAGGGGATAGCATGGGTATAATGGGCATATGTTTTACCACACCTAGGGTTCCCCAGGCTATTCCTGCTGATTTTAGGTCGATGCAGTCTCTATGCAAAGAACAGGGGACCTCATTGGGGGATAATGAGTTGGAGCCATTATCTCATTGGGGATGGGAACCAGTTTATCCTGTAACAGCCAGGGCAAGACTATCGTTAGATAAAATGCCCACGAATTTAAAATTTGATGGCAATGGCAGCTTGGAAGCTTTCATTTTTAAGTTTTCCAGGTATGCTGAGAGGTGGATAAACTGGATGCGTTGTGCTGGACGTTAGAGGGCAAAGCTTTTGATTATTATGTAATTTTACATACTAGTGGTGAAGTGCAATCGTATGCTTCTTTATACGATAAAGCCTTTCAGGGGGTGTGTGCCCAATTTATAACAAGTCATGTTATAAGTAGGCTTTGTCATGGTTTATTTGACCAACAAGCTGGGTTCCATGTTTACATGCATGATCCATCCACGGTCGAACAAGCCAAATTAGTGGTCCGTAAATACTAACAGAGCCATGAGGCCATATTTGGTAGGGGCAAACGCAGTGAAAGGTGTGAAGGAAAGAGGGTTTCTTCAGTCAGTACTGATAGTTACGAGGTTCAGTCTTATGAAGATAACTCTTCTGTGACTTGGGAAACGGTTATGGAGGCTGTTTAGGAACTTAAAGATAAGTTTGAGAAGGCTTTCACAGTTGACTAAGCTAAGGTCAAAGGTTAGCCCTAAAAGTTTATAAAATGCTTTTAGGTGTTTTAAGACTACAAGGTTAGGTCGAAATCATGTTTATTCTAGTGTGTGGTTCTTTTAATCCCCAAGGGGGGGGAAGGGAATTGGATAGAATATAATGTAGGATATCGATTTGGGGAAAGTCAGGTTGTAATCATGGTGTTTTGATCCAGGAT